AATCATTTTATCTAAATAAAAATTAAATTACATCAGCATTTATTTGACATAATGGTTATAAATGTTTTACATCAACATTTATTTTATAATGCATTATTTAATTCTATTAACCCGTAACATTCCTGTCAAATGGATTAATTTTGTTTTTTAATCTACAGATAACTGCATCAATAGGTGGTGACATTTTCAAGACTGCATAGCATCATTATGTTATAACTGAAATTTAAATGTAAGAAATTTGAATATAGGAAATTTAAATATATGATATCTGTGGTTTGAAATCAGGTTATACATTTATTTATATGATTAATCAAATGAAAAAACAAATATTGTTCTTTATAACCAGTTGGCATTAGAGCTTAGTTTGATGGCCATAGTTGAAATTTATGTTTTCTAATCAAGAGAGTTTCTATGAACAAAATACCATTATTATTCAGAATTTAAATGAATCCTTTCAAATTCTTCTACCTAAGATGTTTTATACTTATATATATTTGGTCTGCCCTTTTTTTTTTTTTTTTGAGACGGAGTTTCACTCTTGTTACCCAGGCTGGAGTGCAATGGTGCCATCTCAGCTCACTGCAACCTCCGCCTCCTGGGTTCAGGCAATTCTCCTGTCTCAGCCTCCTGAGTAGCTGGGATTACAGGCACGCGCCACCGTGCCCAGCTAATTTTTGTATTTTTAGTAGAGACGGGGTTTCACCTTGTTGACCAGGATGGTCTTGATCTCTTGACCTCGTGATCTACCCATCTCGGCCTCTCAAAGTGCTGGGATGGCCTGCATTTTTATACAGAATGGAAGTAGAAGTAGTAGTGATTAAGACAAACTGGATGAATCAGTAAGTAATAATTAAATTAGCATAGTTCATTGTCTTAGAATTTAAACCTGAGCCTGGGGATTGCTTCTGTGTTTGTTTGTTGTTACTGTTTTACCCCAGCAGTTCCCTTTATCACCTATCATATGTAGAGAAAGATAAATGGCCTGGGTAATTTGAGCTGGGGATTAGAACTGCCGAAGAAGGCCCAGCAAAGCGTGGAGGAAATGACTGATTAAGAAGTCAATGTAGGGGATAATATAAACTGGTAAACTAAAGATGAATTGCCACATTCAGGTCCTAGCTATAGAGCTGTTTGAACTGCCTCATGACTACCTGTACAGGGGAAAAGCCTGTTACTCTAGAATTGAAAGTTTTTTAAACTGCAGAAATAAAAATTTAAAATGTGGGTATTATATAAAGACAGCATTGTCTTTTAAAGGAGAAATAATTTCGGTCTGCATTGAATTGATCTACTTTGGTTTACTTTATTTTCAGAAGGAGAATAAGGAGCAGCCTTTTTATTCTTCAAAGTGAGCTGATAAACTTTGATGTTCTGAATTTTTAATATCTCATCCAAAAAATTAATTATGAACTGGATTTTGCCACATTGTGCTAGATTTCCTTTTTTTCCTTAGACTTTCATATAAGAAGGAAAGAAAAATACAATTCATGACGACTCAAATAAATTAAAAGTGACCTTTAATATGAATATTACCTATTAAAAATGTTTACAAGTCATCATAGTGTTTGAATTTTACCAGCGATAAAAGATAATGCAAAGCTTCAGTACCCTAACTGCATAATTGTTTTTAAAAATTGTAAAAGTTTCAGCAAAGAATAATGCATTACTATCAGAAGAGATTGTTAAATTTTCTGCTCTTACATGGGAATATTACTCTAATTTAGGAGAACTCAGGAAAATGACGTTTGGTGAATTTAGTACATATAATTGTTAAAGATGAAAGACTTTTTGCTCCTTCACATACTCTCCATAAAATCCTTGTAACTAAGGCAACTTACAGATACTGTAGTGCTTCAAAATGAATTAATTCTTCAAAAGGACAGTGCATAATCACCTTCAGAACACAATATGAATTTCCCTAAGCAAGGTATGCTTCCAGTTACATTCACAAAACTGCAGAGAGTCTGCTTGTCTGGAAGTATCTACAAGTTCAAGGTTATTACTTTGCCACACACATTGGTTTGGATGTCTGTTCTGAGGATTTTCATTATACTCTTGCAGTATCTAACAGGTGCTTCAACCCATTTCAAATCAAGTTTAGCCCATTATTTAAACATGCTAGAAATTTAGTAACTGGATAATATTAATAATTAATCCAATCTAGGGTGAAAGTCAAGTTCTAATACTATGATGGGCTGTTGGCTCTATCACAATTCTGTGTCCTGTTTTAGGTAATGAGAGAAGTGGGAAAGTATTTCCGGAAGCAAAATGCTTGGAGGAGCACAGGTCTCATTCAGCAATCTTTGCAGTGTGTGTATCTGATAGCCCTGAAAAATATCTTTGCAAATAACGAAAGTACTATGCATTCTTTTTATAAGTAAAAAATATATTGTTTGGGCTAGAAACAGTATTGATAGCTTTGCTTCTTGATTCTTCTTTGTAAAGGATAGTAGCCATATCAACAAAGCATTTTTATCAGGTAATGGCTTTTCTAGTTCTCAGAGAATATAATTTATCCTAATAGGAATGGTGGAGAGTTAGATGTCCTGTGACAATTCCTGATCTACAGTGTCAAGATTCTGTGATGCAAATAGCTTTACATCAGGAATTTTTTCTGATCTGTGATGACTTTAGGGTTAGTTTTGCTCCAGAAGATTCAAATTTATCACCAGATGAGGCCCCGTGACTTTCTGTGTAGAACTATTCCTTTGTTAAAAATCGCTGGCTGTACCAAAGTCAGTTTGTGACTATAAAAATTCTTTATTTTCTTCTTCAATTCAATTCAATTCTTCTTCAAGTTAAAAAATTGAATTTTTTAACTTAACATAACCAAGCTAAAATATATGGAAAAGAATCATTACTTTCTGAAAAGAAATGGTCCTTAAAGTTGTAGTGTAAAATCATGTTGAATTTTGTTGAATGATTTTGTTATTTGGCACCAACGGAGACAAAGACTTCACAGTTTAGTAAGGTCATGACAATGTTTAGGCGTATCTGAGGTATAGTCTTCTTTTTAGCCACTCAGATTTATTTATTTCATTATTTTTTAGAGACAGGATCTTGCTGTGTTGCCCAGGCTGGAGTTCAGTAGTATGATCATAGCTTACTGTAAACTCAAACTCCTGGGCTCAAGGAATTCTCCTGCCTCAGCCTCTTGAGTAGTAGGACTGGAGCAGTACACTACCACACCCTTCTAATTAAAAGAAAGAAAAAATTAGTGAAGAGGAGGTCTTGCTATGTTGCGCAGACTAGTCTCGAACTCCTGGCTTCAAGCAGTCCTCCTTCCTTGGCTTCTCAAAGTGCTGGGATTACAGGCATCAGCCACCAGGGCTGGCCTCAGATTTATTTTAAAACGTCTTTACGAAGGGACGCATAAATTTCCAACTCTGTAATTGTGAGCTGTGTAGTGACTTCCTTGCAAAGAGTGTACTGTGGGAAGGAGGAGAGAAAAGAAAGAAACTTAACGTGAAGAAGTATGATAAACAATACTACAGGCAGGTAATTTAGGTCAACAGAGGCAATGGGGAATCATGTTGATAGCAGGGATTCTTGATACGATGTGGTCAGAATGACACTTTACTTCCATGGCTCTACTCCTCAAAACTTTCAACCCCAGACTAATTATTTTTAAAAATCAGACAAATCCCAATAAAGGAACATTCTGTGTAATCTCTAACCAGTACTCTACAAAACTGTCAAAGTCATGGATGTCGGAGAAAACAGTGGATGTCGGAGAAAGAGCCGAAAGGAAAGTAGGGAGGTGTTACCATGAAAACTAATAGAATGTCCTGCATGAGATCCTGGAAAAGAGAAAAGACATTGGGTACGAACTAAGGAAATCTGAATAAAGTACGAATTTTAGTTAATAACCAAGTGTGAATGTGAACACAAAACTGTTACCTCAGTTAAAGACAGACTCAATGATAAAGCTGCTGAGTTCATATTAAATTGTCAAGTGATGACATCAGCTATTCTTGCAAAGGTAAGTAATGTTTAGGGGGAAAATGGCTTAGACATAAGTTTAAAACTCTATAAATACTACCATTCAGAAACAGAATAATATCAAAGCATGATCAATAGTGCTGTAGAAATCAAGCCGAAATCTTCAAAGAGCTAGTAACTCAGACTTGAAAAGGAAACTGCCCAGTATTTTAGAACAGAATATTGTTTATTCTATTAATGCTATTTGATTATATGGTTTTTGTAACAAATAGAAATCAGGTTATGCTGCGTTAAAACACACACACACACACCTTATGCAATAGCAAGTGTTATGTTCAAATTGAAGTGCTTACTGGCTTTTTGATGCTACTTTATCTACTAGACAATATGAAAAACTTGTAGTGACAGAAACTTAATCAGTTTTTGGCAGAAGTACAAACAGACTTTCGTAGATATAGGTAATTGTTTTTCCAGGAAAATGTTTAACTTGAGAATTTCTTTTCCTTGTGAAGGATTAAGGGGAAAAAAGCAATGAGCTTAAACCTGTTTATCTTAAACATACAATGATTTTTTTAAAATCCCACCTGATTTAATTGGTTTGCAGAAAAATAGACTATGTACAAGATACATGTTTTATTTGGAACAAAGCAGTAGCTAAGTATTAGAATGTACAAAGCTTGAGCAAAAAAATTTATAATACAGAGAACCAAGAGCAATGTGCATTACTGCATTATGTGTTTCTGGCTTCCTCATAAAATATATATTGGTTTCTTGAAGAATGTCTGCATTTGGTTGTCTTTATAGTATACTTGTGCTGTTCTTTTTTCCTAAGCGCTTTCTATAATATATTGGAGAAACTTATCTATCTGTTATTTTCATAATACTAGCTTGAGGACAATGTGAACTATTTGCTTCTATTAATCAGGATAAACTAGGGAAATTCATTTTAACAAATGTACAGTGTCAGAAACCTTCTTCCAACCAGATGCATTCTTTAAGAACTTAGAATGCTCTGCACTCTAATAAACAGTGCCATCTTTCTTTTTTTTCTATTCTAGTGCACTGACAGGCAGAACTCACCAGTCACATCACCAGGATCCTCTCCCCTTGCCCAGAGAAGAAAGCCACAGCCTGACCCACTCCAGATCCCACATCTAAGCCTGCCACCAGTGCCTCCTCGCCTGGATCTAATTCAGAAAGGCATAGTTAGATCTCCCTGTGGCAGCCCAACTGGTTCACCAAAGGTAGATTAATTTTATTAAAAACACAGATAAAAAATGTATAAGACAATTATTGATTGCTCAGATTCTTTTAAATTCTATTACTCAGATTTTTTGTGCTTTTAATTATTAATTAATTAGTTTGGTGGGTTTCTCATTTAGTTTATGGTGAGCCCGCATTCATATTTTCTGTTTTATTACTATAAAACTTACATATAATTTTTGCAGAGAGAGAGAGCATATGTCTATAACTCCATGATTTGCCAAAATAAGTAGAAGAGTAAGTATAGTTATTTTTTAAGATAGATTTAAAAGGTCATTATATGCATTATAATAATTTGCATGCTGTTATCAAATGATATTTTATGCTCATTTTTATAGTGCCACGACAAGAAAAATGTAATGGGAGTATATTTGCATAAGGGCTTAAGGTGTGATAAATTATCACCCTTGTTTCAAGGTGACTCAGAAGAGGGAATTATATGTACTTTTTACACCTGGGGAAATTAATTGCAATGAATTGTAGTATTTGCAAAGTAATTATATTACTGTTTAATATTAAAGACATAACTCTTACTCTACAGTTAAGCCTACAGTTGATTTTATTGTGTGGATTTTTTCTTCAAATTTGATAAGTATAAGATTTTAAAAATTAAGTTTAGTTGGTAACAACCTGTATTGCCTAAAATTTGTTGGAAGGGCAACATTTTTAGTAGTATTTGATTTTCCTGTATTACCAGTTAATTTGGTTTTAAGATCATATGAAGACTTAATTAGAATACCATTTAGCATTATGTAAACACAATAGATTCCTTTTTTCTCTGCCATGTTCTAATATTAACACTACAAATCAATCATGAGATGAACCATGTAAATAAAAGCCAAAAGCGATGAAAAGCATATACATTCACTTCAGTGATATATACCTTTGTATTTCTATGTAGGAATCAGTCTGATCTTTGAAAATATTGTAAGAGTTCATAAAATTGAAGTAATTCCATATGTAGTGCTGCTCTGTTTCCTGGTGATTTTTCACTGTTCTGGTAATAACTGATAAAGAAGCAGAGCACGTTTGCCCCGTATCAGTGTGCTATATCGCAGTGATAAAAACAAAAATAAAGCTTTTCATATTCTGTAACTATTAACAAATCAAGTTGCTCTTTAAAAAAAACCAAAACAGTGACAACAACTTTGATAGATTTCTCCTCTCTCCTAAATCACAGAAATGTGCAAATAAATTATTGACATTAATGTCAAAACCATCATATAATTTTGATCTTTTGTTTCCATATCATTTCTATAACTTAACATTTGCATTTATGTACTCATTTCTATTTCTTTTAAATCCTAATGAAATGTATTTATCAGTTTTTTATTCTCATTTAAATTTCGTTAACTGGTGATAAAAGAAACTTACTAAAAGATGGCACAGCAATCTAATAAAACTCCTTGTTTGTCTTAGAAAATAAAAGCAATAATACACTAGTTTGTAAGTCATTTCAATGCATGGTACAACTAACTTTAGGGGTTTTTTTTTTTTTCCTCTTCTGTTTCTTTAGTCTTCTCCTTGCATGGTGAGAAAACAAGATAAACCACTCCCAGCACCACCTCCTCCCTTAAGGGATCCTCCTCCACCGCCACCTGAAAGACCTCCCCCAATCCCACCAGACAACAGACTGAGTAGACACATCCATCATGTGGAAAGTGTGCCTTCCAGAGACCCGCCAATGCCTCTTGAAGCATGGTGCCCTCGAGATGTGTTTGGGACTAATCAGCTTGTGGGATGTCGACTCCTAGGCGAGGGCTCTCCAAAACCCGGAATAACAGCGAGTTCAAATGTAAATGGAAGGCACAGTAGAGTGGGCTCTGACCCAGTGCTTATGCGAAAACACAGACGCCATGATTTGCCTTTAGAAGGAGCTAAGGTAAGACATATACAAAGCATCAGCTAGAGAATCTGCTTATAAATGTTTCTGATGGTCGGTAGCATAAGGCTGGGAAGTGGATTTTTTGCCTAGTATCCTACTTCCCTGCAGGTCTTTAATTATCTCCAAGTTATAAATAATCAGAAGCTCATTAAAACTTGAACTTAAAATAAGTCAGGAGGTTCTAAGTAATGATTTAAATTTAATGTGAAGATACTAGACCATTTGCCTGAGATTTATTTCACCTTCACTTATTTCATTTGCCAAAAATTTCTTCTATTAATAACTTAGTGGTGCTATAATCAGCACTGTATTTTTTTAAATAAACTCTTATAGTTCCATCCAGTTTTTACACGTCGTGTTACTGTACATGTTCTAAATCAGTTGCTGCAATTAGTTATTGTTGCCTGGGACAGTACACACTAGGAAGCCAGGTAAAATGAACTTCTATCTACTTAAAAACAACAAACCAAGTTTACTCTTAAAAATCGAGTTCTTTTCCCCCAAAACTGAGAGATTCTCACACTTGCTGATTTCTCACCCGAAGGATGTTACCACTATCATGTATATGCCTAAGAAGGAGTTTATGTGCGCAAGGAACTGAAGAGATAGCCGCAGAAATCCCTTGGCAGAGATGTACTGTAATAATTTCTGGTATTTGCTTCCAGGATGCTTTTGGCTCTGAGATTAGATCATTGCCATATTCTCTCTACTGACAGAGGCCTTGGCTCTTCTGAAGGCTGTAATATTAAAGCGATTCCATCTCTGCAGACTTTAAATTGTTACTTTACAAAAGTAGTCTAGTCCTTCAAAATAATGGTTTGAAGTTCGTGGGTTTGTCTAATAACATATTCAGGATACAAGGAAGATGTGTGACTTGCACTCAGTTCCTCTGTGTGTGTGGAGGTACAGTGATAATGAACACTCTGTATGACAGTATTAAACCTCAGTGATAAGGGGTAACATGAAAGGAAAAGTCACAACTCTGTAGTGCAGTATTCAAAACAAAGGCAAGGAGTGGTGGCAGTTTGCTGTGACTCTTTGCCAGTGACTCACCTTGATACCTTCAGTCTCTTCTATTATAAATATGAGGATCTCTAAAGGCTTCTTCAGGGTCACCTAAATATAATGTAAATGTAAGAGAACGCACCAATAAACCCAGTTTTAGAATGATCTCTGTCAGTGGGGAGGTCATCCTCAGAAGAGTTTTTCCACAATCTAGAATGCTGACTGGAGGGACATGCTATTTTTAATTTTTTTTAATTTTTAGTGTTTTTTTCCCCTTTCGAATCTGTTACTTTTTATTCATATGTGATCACATTTGTCTTGGGTTAGGAAGAGTGTTAGGAGAAGCTCGAATTAACTAGTTATATCTCACCAGCATGTTATATTTTCTGAATGAACTTCAAAAATACTTAAAATATAATAGTTGTTACAGCCATTTCATTGAAGATATCTTGTTTCAGGATTCTTTTAAATAACATATTATAGTCTTAATGCTATTATAATTTGCCCTCCTAAGCCCTAGAAAACTCACTGATAATTTTTTTTATGAGATGTTATAGTTTCAAAAATTGGGGTAACAGTTTCTTAGGTTTTTGGTATGAGATACTATTTTTATTTTATTAACTACAGGTATGAAATATTAATTGTGATATTTCATAATTATATTTATAATTATGAACATTCCTTTAAATATTTCTATATGAACTTTCATGCTGTGATCACTGATACAGATTAGTATTACAGAGACCATTGAGTGAAAAATTTATCTCTTATTGAAAGTTAAACTTTAATATTACTTAGTTCTCTCTAAATAATTCTCATTAGTATTCCCTAAGGTCTAATCTCATGTATTGGATGTATTCATATTGCAGAACTGATATCCTCAAGTTAATTTCATGTTACTCTTAGATTTGGTGTTTCAACCAAAATTAGACTTTTTTCTAATTTCAACCTAACTGTTTAACTTCTGGAGTGAGCTGTAAAGAAGAATTTATATATAGTAGATGCGTGAATGCTACAAAACTATAAAACAGATCATGTCTCCTCTTTTATTACCTTTATAAAGGAAAACTAGTTCCACTTCATTAGATCATAGGACATACCAGAACTTACATAAAGTATAAAAGGCCTAATTCTTCTTCTCATTTTATTCTTGGGACACTTAAGAGATTGGCTTCAACTAACAACTGCCATGATTACTTAGGATCCTGTAATTCTCAGTTTCTGTGATTCTGGGTTAGAGTTTGTAACCAGGCTCCAAAATCAGACCTGGATTTCACTTTCTGCTCTAGAATGTACCAGCTTTGTGTATGTGAGCAACTTACTCCATCTTTGTCCCCAACCTCACTTATTTTCCTTATAAATAAAGTGAAACTTTATTTTATCCTTTCATATAAAATGGAATGTTAATAATACCTGGTATCTAGGAGAATAGTTAGCTTCCAACTATCTAAATTTCTATGCAGGAATTAAATAAAACAAAAATAACAGCTGGACATAGAGTGTCAAAATAAGTTGTAACCATTGGCATTTTTATCCAAAATAGTTGTTTGTTTTTTAAACCAAAACATCTTCTCTTTGTTCCACTCCTTTTTTTACTTAGCATAGTTCCAAATGAATGCTTGGTAAGCTCTCAATAACCAAGTTAATAACTTCTTTAAGCACTCAGTAAGTTATTAACTTGGTTACTTATTACTTATTATTGAGTGCTTATAATATAATACTTACTTGGTGCCAGTAATGTAATACTTAAGCCAGTGATAAAAGACAAAGGAGTGTATGTGCTTGGGTTTGGGTGTGGGCAGCTGTAGGCTAGGAGAGAAAAGGTGAAGGAAGAGGATGGCCATGATATGCAAGGAGTTACAAATGGATGGGGTTTTTATGTATCTTGCATAATTTTCTTGTTTAAAATAGGATTTTTTTCCTCTGTAGAAGAGTAGTCATTTTAAATATGTGCGTCATACACAATAAGAAAGTGAGAGTGGATGAAGAGAAAGGGGAGATATTTTGATTTTTTTAAAAGACTAATATTTTTAATAAAAATGGTGGGTGTTAACAATGTATTTTCACCCTTCATACTTAATATGCCATTTTGTTTTGTATTACTTTATCATAGGAATAAAGGATGTGGAGACTTAGCTATTTGGAGGCTGTTATTCACATAGTCTATCAGGCCCCCCAGTGTAAGCAAATACACTTTTTTTTTTTTTGGTCAAATAGTAAAAACTGCCACTTAGGTTTAGTAGTTTTCATTAGAGGCAAAGCTTCAAGTTTAATAACAAGTTTCCATTTTAGAGATAAGAAAATGTGAGTAAGTACTAAAAATGTAAATGAAAAGTAACAATACATGTGGAATAGAAGGGAATTTATAAAAGTTAGTACCCTGTCGATGGGCGAGGACTTGCTACCCTGCATTATTCGTCCTTTGTCCGTGTGTCAGTTCCCATCATCCAATAGAACCATTTGCCTTTTCTCTATGCATCGTCACTAGAACAATGAATGGTAGGAGAAATGGGAATAAATTAAGCTCTAATTACTCCATTTGCCAAGAGTAGAGAACTCTGAGGAAAAAATTATTCTAGCTCATAGTTAAAATGAAGTGTAAGATTTTTTCGTGACATTCATTAATTCTCTTTACTCTTCCCTTCCCACTTAGCATAATCAAAAGCTAGCCAAGGTCATACTTTACTTTAAATGTGGATCTACAAACTAAGAATTATTAAGTTTATTTATCTGATTTTATTGGTAAGAGAGTTCTATCCTATAGCATTGTTTCCATTCTCTGAAAGTCTCAGATTTTAGTCACCTTATAAAGCTGTTTCTTAATAAACATCTTGTTGGCTAGATATTTATTGTTGGTGGTGGTTTGTTTTAATCATCTGAGAAAAGTAATTCTACCAAAATATATTAAAATATGACTATAAACTTGAAAGGTATCTACTTATTTCAAGATATTAACATTGTTCCCAACTGTCATTATTTGTTCCTCTTGAGACACTAAGAATACTGCTGTTTCTTATGTGATTAAACTGTCTTTCACTGGTCATGTTACTTACAGTGACATTGTTCTAAAGATGACCTTATGTGTTATAATCTTTTGAAGATGTTGCAAGATAAATACATCAAATGATTTCCCTTTTTGCAGCTGTGGCTTGTTGTACTTTTGGTGGAGAGGCACATGTTTATATTAATGACCTTCAAGTCATCTATACATTTTGAGAGCTGTCTTTCAGAAAATCAGTCCTCTGTGTATACTGGTTTCATGTCTAGTCTGTTGTTGAAGGACAAAATATAGGGATGCTTTTGAGGTAGCATGTGTAGGGGTTTACATGTGTAGGATAGGGAATAGGTTTGTGTTTGGTAATATTTTTTTAAAAGCTTTTCTTAATTGTGCTAAGATTTTCACAAAAGTGTTTTCTCTGTACCTCAAGGATCCCAGATGTTTTCATCTTCAGTTTTTAGACAATATCTGAATCACAAGAAAACATTTTATACTTAAAGATTAGGATTAGATGATATCTTGGGGCATTTACAGAAATGCTAATCTAGGATAACCTTGATTTCTGATAAATTTTACAAGCCAGTTTATCCTTCTCTCACAAGTCTAAACTTCCACTGTTGTGTTCTTATTTCTTCAACCTCATTACCTAATTCAGGTATATGAGTACCTAGGATGTTCAAGATACTCTCGGAATGCAAAGGGGAACGAAGCACGGAAAAGCTAGTGAGGGTGAGACAGGCATGTGATGAGGAGGTGAGGCATATGAGAAGCATCCAGAAAATACGTGGAATCCCCAAGAGGAAACATTCCAAGATGCATGGCTGAAAAAGGAATAAAGAAAGCTTCATGCAAGAGGGTCACTGGCTAGACATTAAAAAACTGGCAGCTGTTGTTTTTGTAGGTAGGAGAGGTGGGAAAATATGTATAATGTATGTAGTCAATTTTGGATGGTGTATAGCATAGAGACAGTAGGCAGGTGAGGTAAGACCATAGCAACATAAGTTGAAACCAATTATGAAGTGTCTTGGATTCTACACTAAGTTATCATCATTTGGTAGTCAGGAAAGAGCATTTAAAGTTTCCTTTTCTGGCAGAGGAATGCTGGGATCACAATTGTGAATTTCGATTTTAATCGGTAGCATTTGCAATGCAATTGTGATAGATTTGGAACAGTGAACTAAGAATGCATGGAACAAAAAAGATGTTTCCTAGTTGAGGAGTCAGCGAGGTTTCGGTGTGAATTGCTTCAGTGGATACTATCAGTCTGTACATCTGAGGAACTGTAGTTTATTACCATTTGCAACTAGATTTTTCAGATATCTAGAAAACAAAAAGTATTTATTTTTAGTTTCCAAAGTTGTGGTTTATTGTGCTTACTCATGTAGTGACAGCTAAAATGATGTTCTGGTGTAATAAAATGGTTATAGGTGAGAACATGAAATTCAGAATGACATAATGTTAAATTATGTCCTCTCAATCTTGTCCTCTAGCCACTGTCGATAAATATAAACAGCCACTTTAGATGAACAGAAGCATGACCACATTGTAAAGTACCTGCGTATTTGGGTCTTTTGCTATTTCAATCTACTAATTACGAAAGAACTACACAGAATTTCATGTTTTGTATTAGGCGTATTGTCAACTCTCGGTGTATATTTATGAACAGTTTAATGGAAGAATAGCCATTAAACAAATTATTTATACGTAGATAGATATGTATATATTTGCCGAGAGTATTTCAGTAAAAATGAGTTTCTTTCAGTTAAACCTAAAGAAAGTCACTTCACTAGTTAATAAATCCATTAATAATTTCATCTCTGCCAATCAGCAGTCAATACTCATTTAAGCCCTGCTGTATGTAAAGCCCCATAAAGCATATGCTATAAAATGGAAAAGGAATCATGAATTTTTGTCCTGAAAGAGGCCCAATGTGGCCTAAATTCTCCTCAACAGAATGTAAGCAAAATATCATCAGATGCCAAACACCATATGAATGGTTTAGAAAAGACACTACAGCATTTCACTGGCCAGAGAAATCCTTTAGTTACTATGCATCAGTAACAAACCGTATTTCTGAAGCAGTTAGAAAAGATTGTATTTGCATTTGAAAGCAGATTAATGGATTGTTGCAAAAAATTAGGAGCGAGTCGCTTAATTTTCTTAGGTATTGCCCTCCAAGAGTAAGTTACCTCATTAATTGTGCTTTGTGGTTTTTACTAGTGATAAAACATCATTGCCTGTATGACTTGTCTTCATGAAATTTAATAGTAGTACATAAAAATGTGCAAGCTCTGTTATTAGTATATTTATTCTCTTTTACCTAATGTGTAAGATGAAAGCAGTTTCAATAGCAATAAATGTTTGAGTTTATTGATATTTTTTAAAGATGTGTTCACAGTATTCTGATTATAAAATTATGGTTGGTTCATTATTAAATTAGAGTTGATACAACTCAAATTGTTATTTCCATCTCTCTCTTTGATTTTATTATTGCTGAAATTTTATTAAGCATCTATCTATGTTGGATGCTTTGTCCTAAAATAACAAACTATTGCATATAAAATCCACATTACATTTTCCAGAATGAGTTTTATATGTATTTGTGACAGAAATTAAAGAGATTTGATTGCAGATACCTTACGTCGTATCTATCCAGCAGCATGCAAAGAAGTCCAGTTTAGAATGACTTCCAATGCTCAATATCACAGTGAACATTTGTGGTTTGATATGTGTATTTATCAGTTAAAAGGGCTTTTTTATGTTAAAGGATTTTATTAAACTTTGAAATGATTAATATCTATTAGGAAATTTCTTCTTTCTGGTAAACTCCAAAGCACTTTGCCTTCTTCTGTTATTTGGCCACAGTCAAAGGCCTAAGATAAAAGCATTTCATTTAAAGGTAGTATTTTGTCATGGCTACAGTATATTGAGTCTAATGAGGGGGGAAACATGGAAAAAGAGAAATTGGTACTAAAGCATAGAGCTAGTCTCTAGAGTGAAACTTAACTGCTACAAAATTTGATTTTGTAGCTTTGAAATAAAAATGTTGGTACATTTCAAATGTGTTCTTTAAACTTGTTTCTTTTCTAAGTTGATAGGTAAGGGTATGGTCTTTTCAATTTTGTATTCTAAAGCTTCAACATCATTTTAGAGATATGATGGGGGAAAGTAATTGGTAAGTCCTTGACTGAATTATCTAGCACTGTTCAAGTTACTTTACATCCAGTTAGCCCCACCATCAGCCTGCCTATTAAGTATGAATTCATAAGAGTTTATAGAAGAGCTCCATGATAGAAATCTAATGATTGCTTGCAGGTCTTAAAATATGTTCAGTCTTTTCTTGTGAATATGTTTCTGCAAGTTATCCTTTCATACCCCTCCCCCTTTTAAGTTGCTGTAATTTCAAATGGTAAGAGAAACAAAGAATAGTTTTTCAGACATTTCCTGTGGCGTAACAGAGAACTCTAGACATCAGAATTTCCTACTTCAAGTAATTGAACACTGGCTTTGGATGGCCCCATATAAGCAAGTTAGAAATTGTGGTTTGTGTGTTCACAAACTGAAATTTTTGTTTAAATTCGCCTGCTCTTCGAAAGTCAGAAGAGGTCTCTAGTTATCATTAGCCCAGAAGCTTCAGCCATGAAAGAACAAAGGCATTTTATTCATGTACTGTTTTATCAGAAAGTTTAAGAGTGTTCTGTTCACCCTGGTGAAATACAATTTAGAGCACTTTACTTTGGAAGGACTTAAGAATGACATCAATGCTGCTTTTTTCTTCACCCCTTACAGAGAATGCTAACTTCTGATTTACTTTCAGGTCTTTTCCAATGGTCATCTTGGAAGTGAAGAATATGATGTTCCTCCCCGGCTTTCTCCTCCTCCTCCAGTTACCACCCTTCTCCCTAGCATAAAGTGAGTTTTATTGTATTTGGAGATCACTTGTCCATGCATCAAGATATGGTAAAGAGTGGTTTGGAGGTTCTCAGTACAGAAACTACATGATGAATAGAAAGTCATTGATAGTAAACAGCCTGCTGTATTTACAAACTAAATTACCATAAATCAAGATGCTTCTCAATTCTTTGCTGGTAACCACATCTATGAGACTTAACCTAAACTCTTGAGGTTACACATATAGCAACAGGGAGAGAAAGCTAAGTATTCCTTGCATCAAAGAGGATAGAGTAGCACATGAGGTATCCCTTCAGATTTACTTCTTCTCGTCAGAGGTATTGCATTTTGTCTCAGCTTCCCAGTTTGACATCATAAAATAATCTTTGGTTCTACCAGTTTTTTCGTTTCTCACGTCCATTTAGCTACTAAATCCTGTTGGTTGTTCTTTTGGAGTTTTTCATATTACTCTAATCTTCTCCATTGCTCTAGCATTGCCTCAGAGCTGGACAACTGAAAGAGTCTTGTATCTGATCACCTCATATGATCTAAGATTTAGTATCAATGCATTTAAGGCTAGTGAAATGAGATAACTGGGTACCTCATTTGAAAAATGGGGTCCCAGAGGCACACTAGATATCTACCAGTGATATCTTCCCAAGTTTAACCAGCGTAAATTGGATATCACAATTCTAATATTCCTACTCTTTATGTGAAGTCCGGTTGTCTGCCTTTCCTCCGGTATATTTTGTTCACTGCGACTGAGTTCATATAATTTAAATTCTGCCTTCTCTAGGTCATTTTCCCCCTCAAAACCAGCATTGTTTCCCTTTTTCTATTAAAGTAACTCTATACTCTTCTGCTAACAGTGAAATCCTACAAAATTTTACCCCAACTAAAATATTTTTCAGGGATTCCTAATACTTGCCCTGTGATTATATCTGGATTGTTTTTTCTGGCTTTGTAAGATGTTTATATTGTTCTCTCCTGTGCTTCACCTTTTCCTAATCTTTAACCCAAAGGTCCATATCTCAGGCTCTATTTCTTCCTGAAATGTTCTGTGACTTCTTAGTTGTAATGATTAAGACTGATTCACATTCCTCTTCCTGCAGTTTATTTTCCACTCACGTGATTATGTACTTGCCATACTGTTTTCTACTTTTAATGTGGCTCTCCAATTGAAAAGATTACAAGATGTTGAGGACGAAACTTTCTGTGTTCTCTATCTCCCATAACATCTTACTGTATTTGATATATACTAAGTAAGTTATTTGCATGTAGTAAGTACACAGAGGCTACATGGATGCTTAGTTGATTGATTTAAATTTTATCTGCTGATGTCCTTGTTTCCAATTGAAAGTCTTAGAGCTTCTTCATTCCATCACCTGTAGTTCACTGAATTCCCACTATACATATTAATGCAAAGGAAAAATAAGGTAAATCCCAGCCCCCAAGAAATTTGCAGTCAACTTTAGAAAATAATATTAACACATATGAAGTCCCTGGAGAACGGTGTGCACTACCTTTTATACTGCTAACTTAGTAGTTTCAAATGAGTTTGGAGGAGTGGTTATAGACTTTGTGAATCAAGGATGTTTCTTGGAGGGATGGGCATTTCCTTATTCGTGTGCAGTACAGGCACAATTGGGAAAGGTGGGATGTAAGAAGAAACAAGACTGAAATTTGACATCGTTCAGGGGACGGTGGGAAACTCAACGAATTAGATCATTCTCCAGTGGGAACTTCTCTTGGAGCTGCCAGATATTAAACAGACATAGGAGTTGGAAGCAATTACACATATCCTGGGTAGTAGGCTTTAAATCATTGACAACATATGATGATATTCTAGCCCTAAATGAACTCTGGATATATGTGCATGTAATAAAACATCTAAGCTCAATTGCCTCTGCTAACCCAGAGAACATTAGAAAATCAAATCTTGCTAATTAGAGATTAAATTTTCACATTCTGTTTATTAAATTCATATTGGCAAGTAGGAAGAGAGCTGGAGGTTGCGTTTGCTTCATTTGTATTTAACGTTAAATACCTGCTTCTCCTGTAAATGAAGAAAAAATAACAAACTTATCATAAAATACACTTTTTCTAATACTTCAGTTGGTAAGTGCATTTAAAATTAGTCATACTTTCTCTTTACTCTTGATTTTCCCCCCAGAAATAATGCAGTCGTTTCATTTAACTAGAGAAATATTTTAACAGTGCACGCTTACCAACAAATTAGTTTTCTATTTTGCATGCTGCAAGTCAGCCATAGTTAGCAATACAAATGTTAGCTTTTAATGGCACATTTATCTCTCCAGTTTATTTTTGTTTCTGACTCTGTAGGTAGCAGTTGTTCATTGTAGAAAATATGCAAAGTATATAAAAGAAAAAACAAGTGAGTTACATACATACAGGCATATGCATATGCTAAATATCAATGCCCAGAGTTTTAATTTTCACGTTTGTAATTTAAACTTGTATTTACCTCATTTAGCTTGTATCGTAGAGATAATTTCATGCCCTTGTTTCTTAACATAATCATAAGCATTTTTCTTAATTGTTTAGTTATGCACTGTGTTTGTTATAAAGCCAGCATGGAATGCTGATGTGAACGGTAGAATAAAATCAGACTGGATACCAGACCTGACTCCACCATTAAGTATGTGTCTTATTTTTAACAAGGTCACTTCTCTGGGCCCTTCCCCATCTGATAGAAGAAAGGATCAGTTTAACTTAAATTATCTCCACAGTCCTTTTGAGATTCAGCTTTTTAGGTTCTATACAGTGTGTTTTTCTAAAGGATACTTGCGGCAAACCTGGCAACTTGCAGTGAGTAGAGTCCTGGCTCTGGAGGGTCTTAGAACAGAGGTCTCAGCAAAATGTCACTCACGGAAATAGGAATTTTGGATGTTCCAGTATTCACTTCCACGTCAGACTCTTGGTGCATGTTTCAAAGCAAAACATTGCTACCTAACATACACTTCTGTAGTTCTCACCAATGTTGAAATCTCCAATGTTAAATCCATGTATGTCAAATCTAGCCTTTACCTTTAAATTTAGACTATAACTATTTACCAAAATAGAATCGTTAAATATTTGATATTGTTACTCTGATTCCCATTTATATGATGTCAGAGGCTGCCTGTGTTTCCCTTCTTGTTAAACAGCATCTTTGCAATTATTTAACTTTTATTGTGTAGTTTGTCTTGAGACTTAGAAGAGTATAAAATTTATTCTAAAATACGTACAGTTGTAAAAGTATAAAAAAGTAAATGTAAAATAGAAAGAAAGTAAAAATTTGAAATTATTTGCATCTATATACTTAATTTTTCTAAAATAATGTCTTTTCCTAGTTTCTACTTAACATCTTTAACACTTAGCTATAAATATAAAATTTTAACTAAATGCCAGAAATATGGATAATAATTTTTTGGAGGGAGAACAAAATAATCCTATGTGAATTCTTTTTACTTTCTGGTTTAAATTGTTTATTTACTAAATTATGTTTACTTGGAAATAGTTTGATTTTTCAAAATTACAACTAAATGATACTCTGATTAGTTAAGGAAATATTTATTTTACTTGACACCCAGTAGGTTGGCAAATGAACAGAGGCATTATTTACGAGTAATAATGGAGTAGTTACTTCCAGATAAGGTAATGATCTGGAATGTTGAGGAATGTCTTTGTTGTTAAGAATTGTGTGTGTGTGTGTGTGTGCCTTGTCTTTCAGACATGGACCCTTCTGTACTTCTGACATATTAAACTTAGGCTTTCAAATACCCATGAACCAATGTTACTTGGTTTGTATTTTTGTAAGAAAGGTTTCTTGTTGTTGGAGGTGGTGTTATCTATTTTTATGAATATATATTGTTATAACAAATATTTTTCTAAACAGATAAGTGCTTATATTTTTGGTTCTTAAACAGAGAATCCCAGTTTCACTTAACTATTTTCTTTTTTTTTTTTTTGAGACGGAGTTTCGCTCTTGTTACCCAGGCTGGAGTGCAATGGCGCAATCTCGGCTCACCGCAACCTCCGCCTCCTGGGCTCAGGCAATTCTCCTGCCTCAGCCTCCTGAGTAGCTGGGATTACAGGCACGCGCCACCATGCCCAGCTAATTTTTTGCATTTTTAGTAGAGACGGGGTTTCACCATGTTGACCTGGATGGTCTCAATCTCTTGACCTTGTGATCCACCCGTCTCGGCCTCCCAAAGTGCTGGGATTACAGGCGTGAGCCACCATGCCCGGCCCACTTAACTATTTTCATTCAGTTGCTTTACTGACTGGAGGTGCAGTGTGTACAAGATAAAAACTTTATCATCTTTGGAATTTATGCTCTAGTTAGGCAGAAGAGAAAGTAGACAAATAACTATATTGTATATTGTCAGCTTGTGGTGAGTGCCAGGAGGAAAAATAAGCAGAGAAGAGGCTAAATAATGGTAGAGAGGTTTATACTTTCGATGAGGTCATTAGGAAAGGCTAATATTTGAATAGAAACTTGAAGGAAGTAAGGGAGCAAACCACGAGGTTACCTGTGTGAAGAGCACCGAAGCTGGATAGAGCACAAGTACAAAGCAACTTCACATCTGTTTCACTGCTTTACAAGTTAGTGAAAATGCTTGTGTGTAAAGCTTACCTTCAACCTTGATAATATACCACACAGACTGTTTTGATGTCATTAAATAACCTTCAGAATTAGCATGTATATGATAAAATTTAGTGTTTTGAGGAAATGATTTCTATGTGGGACATGTGCAGAAATCATTTCAAATATAGCTATATTTTGTTTTATCTCTTCTCTGGGCTATTTCTTTTTCTTTTTTTTTTTTTTCTAGACTGGAAAGTGGGTTGTGGGAGGATAAATTATAACTAGAAGTGGCTACTATATAAGATAAATTTGTCACATTTGAGCCATTAAGTATTATAGGAATTTTAGAGACAAAAGAGACCTCATCCAAATTGGGTCATCAATAGGATAGCCATGTAATTTTTTCCTGGGACACCACTGAGAGTAAAAGGGGGTATGGTTACTAATTATGGCAGGATAAGAGAAACAAACTGGTATCACCCAGGCAAAGCAGGACATACTCCATACATCAGGGAAAGGTTCGTGGAGTAAGTTGCATTTAAACTAAACCTTGCAGTGAATTTAAACCAGAATCCCAAATCCTTTCTCAAATACAACGTCCTATTAGTACTGTGTCTCACATGTGTGCCTTGGAGCTGCCTTAAACGGTTTAAGAAATATGGCCTAATGTATAGGGCAAGCTCAAAGTTTCTATTTAAACAGAAGATATTTTTCATTACTTGCCTTCAGATATTATTAAAGAAGATAGATTCTTATACGTAGAAAACAAGCTTACTAATTAAGCATAGCATTGGAAACTATCCCCCGTGCCGGCCTGAAAATTCACTTGTTTCTTGGTTTGTTTCATGTGTGCATATGTCGAAGATGAATATATTTATCACTGAAGTCTCAAATAACTAACAATGAATTTGTTAAAATGTCCAGGTTGTGGGGAGGTTGACTGTGCATCTTTGAGAGTGTGTTTCCCTGTGTATTACCAGTGTATTCACTCAGTAATAACAGCAACAGAGCAGAGCACTCCGTGAATGTAGGATGATAATATAAAGGGAATCCAGTAATAAGTGTAATGGTAGGCCTTAATGTGGAGTCAGCCAAATCTAATTTGTTCAGCTTTATTCCTCTGGTATCCTAAAAATTTCCCATAAGTTTAGTCAGCAACTGAAGATTGTCCTATGTCCCATAAGATAGAAATTTTTTCTACCAGAAGTCACATATATGAATAGATGATGACTAATTATAAATCCAATTATTTTACTACTTACTTAGTAATAAGTAAAATTAAACCTGTTTTTTGAATGAGTTTGTAGAGGAAAATAAAACCCCATGTGTCATTCCAGATGGTGTAATTAGTTATGTGAATTTAGTTTTTTTATTTTCCTGTTTTATGGACAATTTCTTTATCTTATTTGTACCATTCTCTTCGGTTATTTTTTGTGATAGAAACCAGGTTTTTTTTTCAGAACTGGATAAGATTAATTTTTAATAAAAATTATGTAATCTTGAATAAAATACCCGGGAATGTTATAAATTGGCTTATTTCTCATCTAAATAAACTATTATATTGATATTAGAGTTCCACTAAAAAACATAAGCAGAAAAATAAAATCTGAATCTTTAGAACTTTATTAAAATGGTCATAAATGGAACACCTAAGGTTTCTTTTTCATATTTAGATAACAAACACCACTTGAAGACTATTTCTTTACTTCTAGATATAATTCTCTAAAATCCATTTAAGCTAACAATTTATACTAGTAAGTTTTAGCAATAAGTCTTATTATTCCCTGAGGTGTTAGATGAGCTTTGCTTTTCACTTCATTCTGAAATAATCTGCTGATTTGTGGCAAAGCAAAAGAGTAGGGGAAATTCCACAAGAGAAATTCTCTATCAATGGAGGTAAAATATCAAATTGGCCACAACATAAAGTGATTTCAAAAATTGTCCATTGTTGACTCATAATGAAGTGCTTCTTTGGAAACTTAAATCTTTGGAGGGAAGCTGCAACAGGCAGATCTTAGAACATTTCTGTTTTTGAATAGTTGTTAAATGTTTGGTGAAAAATACTGTTTACTTTTTTTACATAGTGTATGCTTGAAAAACATAGAAAGAAAGGGATTTATTATAAATAAAAATATCCTAGGCGTAGAAAGGATGTACAATGTATATTTCTCTTTTTATTTGGTAATAGAACCCATTCTGGTTCTTGCCTTAGCTAAATTGATGTCTGTGTTTACAGGAATTCATGGAAAAAGTAATAGCATAAATCCCTCCCTGCTCCATTACCATAGATCACCATTTTGCAGCCCATATGCTTAACTGCCTTTAATTGGAAAGTAAATCAAAGTTAAATCATAATAGGTGTAATAGTAGATTATTATTAAGGCCCTTAGCTGATGCTCTAGGTAGTGACACTGGACCTTTTGTCATTACATCACTGTGCTTTTGTCTCCCTGTAACTCTCATGTGAATTCTAAGGTTGCTCAAACAAGACTTTAAAGATCAGTATTGAACATTTTTTCAAAGATAGGTATTAATAAAGATACACTTGAAAAATCTTAGTTTTTCTTTTATCTTTGAATGTCCTAGAGGCCTAGATAACATGGTTGAAACTTAAATCTTTTGATTTTTCAAAGTTCTTTCTTGCAATGGTCACAAAGAAAAGCTCCTAAAATTGTTTCCATTCTAAATAGTAAAAAGAAATAAAAATGAAAGTTAATTCAGCCTTGTTTGTTTAATATACCAAAGGCCTCTTGCTCCCTCTACAGAAGGTGCTTCAAAATTGCAGTCACTTAGCTTTTTTTCTTTTAATTGAACAGATTTCTTACGAGATTCATGATGATTAACAAAAAAATTTAGATTCATGTGTGTATTTCCAAACTAGCCTTGCAAACTGGTTGGTCGTCCTAAAGTGAATCAGGCTGGGTTTGTGCATTTCTGCTTTGGCATTTTTCGTTGTCTTCAGCCAGAGTTAGAAACTCCAGTAGCAACAACTGTGAAAAAACATTGCCTATTGACTATTTGTTTGGGTTTGTTTTATTTGGTTTACTTACTCTTATGGATAAGTGAAATGCTAATTTTTGAAATTAGGTGATGGTTTTACCCATTTTAATTCTCTTTTATTTAGCCAGGGAATTTAAGCCATAAAAATAATGTGCTCCAATTCAAAGACTTAAAAATATGTTCTCTCATTATCTATATCTAATCATTCCATTCATTTTTAGCTCTTAGTTGTTTGTAGGACAAAAAAACCTAACAACTTCAACTATAATTTCACAGGATAGTTAAGTTTTATGGAATTAAACTGGATATTTTTCCAACTACAGATAATATTCACAAGAGATTAAAAGTTTGACTATTCTATACAGAATAACATATAAAACTACCATCCTATTATTTTATCATCATATTTTACCCATTTAATTTAAATTGGAACAAAATATTTTAATAGCTTTGGTTTTAATAAATTTTTACATTTTGTCTTACGAATCCAACATCTTTTTATTTTGACAGATTACTAGTTTTTCCTATTGTGCCATTTAAAATGATAAGGATGAAAACTATTTTATCCCGTCAAGAGTCTTAACAAAAGATTGAAAATCCTTTTCATTTGTATTTGATACAAGAACAGCTTCTCTGATGTTACCCTGTAATTGAAGAATGAACATAAGTGATAAAGTAGCTTCTTTGACTTTCATATGTCACATCAGACTTCCCTGTTTTGAATATTTTGCTTAAACTAGATTGGATTTTTTTCCCGGTAGGTGTACTGCTCCGTTAGCAAATTCTCTTTCAGAGAAAACAAGAGACCCAGTAGAGGAAGACGATGATGAATCCAGGATTCCTTCATCCCATCCCATTTCCCTGAACTCACAACTATCTCATTGTCATAACGTAAAACCTCCTGTTCGGTAAGAAGATGGGCAGCTTTTTACCACTTGCATCTGCATAAGCATTATCATTTGTAGTGTTGTTTTTAAACAATTGTTTCACGTCTAGTTCAAAATCCTTGATTTCCAGCTCAAAGCCTTTTGTTCCTATAGAGCGTTTCCTGTATTACTTTTAAAGAAAACTAAAAGATGCAGATTTCTCATTATTCAGGAAGTCATTGTATTTTATCAGTTCTAAGCATGTATCTCATGAAGAAAAATTAGTGCTCAGAAACTAAGGTATTATTTCGACGTCCCTTAGATTTTTCTTCATGACGCAAAGACTAGTATAATTTATATTCATTTTCCTTCTTGATGCGCTTGCTACCTACTTTTATTCAGATTTGGAAGAAGTGGGGGTGGAATATACCAAGTTATTTCCCTTAACTTTTTATTTCATATCAAGTGCTGTTTGACCTTCCCTTGGATCAAATAAGAATGTGAGGGATAATGGGTTTTTTTCCTGACTTTGGTTTGCTTATTCTCCCTTAAATGGGGGTAACCTTGGTTTTTGAGTTGGAAACCCCACTGAGGTAAATACGAGTTATTAACAATATGTTGTTTTATTGAAATACTAGTTTGTCTTTGAGTAAAAGCATGAGTTTGCATTTATATTACTGAATTCATAAACAAATCTAATATTTCTGGGTTTGCTTGTTTGTTTGTTTTACTTGACTGACATATATGAGGAATCAGTACTCTCAGCTTCAAAGCTTATTTTCTGAACTTTGGTTTCCTTAGTATATCATACTTGGGTTCATGCTTGGCACACAGAATAGGGCTCAGGTACTGCTGGTGGCCCTGCATTCCAGCATCTTTTCATGACTGACCGAGGGATAGGTGAGCTGGCAATGACTTCAGTCACCTGTGCCATCTTTACTTAGTGTGCCATTTCCTTTTGAGATCAAATCAATCATCTGAAGGCATTTTACAAGTACAGTGTTCCCTTCTTTTCCAATGAAAAGCTAAAAAAAAGTTTTAATGTTTCTTCAAGTATCTCACTGAGGTAGAAAATGCAGTACTTGGAAAGAGAAGCACGTTTTCATTTTCAGCAGACGTCTGTCTTAATAAGTGACGTTGGTTAGAATTATCAACATTCTGATGAATTATTACCCAGAATTATTAACAGTCTGTAGCACAGGACTTTAATTTTTTAAAAGCAAGAATCCAAATACTCCCTCCTATTGCCAATGTTTAAATAAGACATTTGTTGATAAAATTGTATCATTGAGAAGACAAAGAAATAACGAGGAGGTAATTTTCTATATCAGAAGAACCAAGTAGCCAGTGATGTATTTGAGAACAAAATCAAATATAAGTTGTTACAATTTTCAGTTCTTTGGCTCTTACAAATGTGCAGTAATTTTTAAAAACTAAGTAGGATGAGCTTTTTGGTCTCTTTGGGAGTCTTTTTTTTTTTTTCATTGCTAGATAAGTGAGGAGCATAATTTATGTTGAATTTTAATTGTTACATCTTATTGGATGAGATTTTTTTGTGGCAGAACTCCCAAATCTTGAAAATAAATTTGAATTATAACCATTATTACCATTTTTCTATTGTTACAGAAAAGTAATAAATGTTGATAATCCCTAAATGTAATTGGAGTGAATTCTTTATCTAATTTGCTCTTGAAAGCTGATGGATGAAGTATCCTTATCTTGTCTCCGAAGAGCCCTTTAAGCTTAACACTTCCTTTCCCCGCTTATGTTTTTCCCCCTTTGGAACATGAGGAGAAGGAAGTGTCAATATGTAGAAAAAGTGACATAGTAAATGAATAATTCAGTTTAATTTCAGTAAAAATCCATCATTATTAGGAAGATTCAATACATGATAACTGGTTTTAAATGAACTATATCTGGCCCCTTAAAGTGGCCACCAGAGAGAATGGAAATGAATTTTAGATGACACATTCTTCTAATATCTATTCAAGTATCCACCATTTCCACCATTAGGTATGCACTTTTGATTTGTTTTAAAAATTCAGAGTAAATCAGAGAAAAGTAAAATGTAAATTCCGATTTCTATAGCTCTCTGTCAGTTGATTGTTACAGAGCTATATGCTAAAGGCAAAATATGCTCCCTTTCTTCTCTTCCTGCTGCGATTTTCCCATGGCCCAGTTTTAGGCATTGTGTTCATAGTATGATTCCGAAGCATTAATACCAACAATTCGGCTGGGTGCAGTGGCTCACTGCACTTTGGGAGGCTGAGGCAGGCAGATCACTTGCGGCCAAGAGTTTGAGACCAGCTTGGGTAACCTGGCAAAATCCTGTCTCTACTAAAAAATTTTTTTTAAAAATTGGCTGGGCCTGGTGGTGCACACTTGTTATCGCAGCTACTTGGGAGCTAAGGCACAGGAATTGCTTGAACCTGGAAGGCGGAGGTTACAGTGAGCCAAGATCATGTCACTGCACTCCAGCCTTTGCAACACACACACCAAACAAATAAAAAAATAAAGGAAACCCCCAACAACTCAAGCAAACTTTTCTACTAAATAGTACCCTTTACAAACACATCAAATACTGTACTTGTCATGTACCCAAGGCCTTTGTTAAAGTCATTTTCTGTGGTGTCAGAGGGCCAGAATTTTGTTCTTGGCAATGGTGGAATAGTACCATAGGCTCCAGTTCTTTGAATATTCCTCAGAATTGTAATGGGATTACTGAAGATTTAATAATTTTTCTTCTTTTATGGGCTGTAGTTTATTTTTATTACAAGGAAATTTTACATTACAGAAGCAAAAATATAATATTAAATACTATCAGCAAATAATGAAGTCGTTGAGACTGCTATATGTTTTTCCTTGGCACATACTTCTTTTTTTTTAACGTCAAAAACTTGACCAGGTTCTATTGAACTCTTAAACAGAGATATGTTAATTTGACATATGTGCTTAGGATATCAACAATTTTTGTGGCCCCTGTAATTCTCGGTTATAGTTTAGAAAAAGAGAGATTGTTTTACTTGAGATATTTACTTCTGCATTTTAAAATAAGGGGTATCTTGATATTATTACTGGTAATTGTTCCAGAAAAGAAAAGTTGTGTTCAAACTTTGTTAAATGAGCAGAAATACCAGTTGCCTCTACCTCTCGAATTACTTTTAATTGGCAAGTGTTCTCCTCATATGATTTTACTCTGGTCTCTGCTTTAGGTCTTGTGATAATGGTCATTGTATACTGAATGGAACACATGGTCCATCTTCAGAGAAGAAATCGAACATCCCTGACTTAGGCATATATTTAAAGGGTACGTATAGAATATAATTTCCTTTGTGCCATACATCTTAATGGTCAGAATTTAAAGGCAAAATTCCATGCCCTTGTACTGAAAATACATGAAGGTTTTGTGTCATCCTCTAGGAGATGTGTTTGATTCAGCCTCTGATCCAGTGCCATTACCACCTGCCAGGCCTCCAACTCGGGACAATCCAAAGCATGGTTCTTCACTCAACAGGACGCCCTCTGATTATGATCTTCTCATCCCTCCATTAGGTTGAAACCTTTAAAAACATTTTAAACAAACCACCCCTCCTTTTCTTCTCTTAATCTTGGAGTTTTCAGAGTCAGAGTTCAGTATAACACAGACTCACCGGGTTGTGAACTTACCTGAAATTGGAAAGAGTTCTCCGGGTGATGGTGACTCCCAGGTTAATGAGACCATTACCCCATGTAGATGATTAATAGTGTCATAGTTGGGCACCGGTCAGTTTCAAGCAAGTTGTTTCGTCCATACTAAATGTAGTCTAAAACACATGAACGCTTTGTGTTCTAGTAGTTTTGAAGCGATGACTTGCAGTGTTGAGATTTTCTTTAAGTATAATAATTCTTAATAAATGTGAACTTGCTTTTCTTGCAGCATGAAAGAACCAGTTCCACTTATGCTAATTAAATTATGCAAAATTAGATAGTTGTATGTAGAGGACTGATAATAAATTCTGTTTTATTCTAATCATTACAACTCTTAACACATTCAAAAAAACTCAATTTCCTTGTTTCAGATTATGATATGGAGAATCATCCTATGTGTATTTGTGTGTACCCACAGGTGAAGGTATACATAGGTGTGTATGTGTGTTGACGTGGGCTGGTGCCAGTGTCACTGTTAATTTCATTAATTCAGAAGCATCTCACCCTTTTTTTTAGGAGAAGACAATTAGAATGTCAGCACACCTTGCTTAAGGCTTCACAGTAACAAGTCACTGTAACATAAAATAATGTATAACGAAAGTCAATTTATAAGCTTTTTTGAATTGGCTATTAGGCCACCAGATATACGAAATGAACCTTTTCATTTTCTCACGAGTACCACTGATTAGTATTTTGTTTTGTTTTGTTTATTTTTTTATTATACATTAAGTTCTGGGGTACGTGTGCGGATTGTACAGGATTATTACACAGGTATACACATGCCATGGTCTCACTCATAAGTGGGTGTTGAACCATGAGAACCCGTGGACACAGGGAGGGGAACATCACACACTGAGGCTTGCTCTGGGGTGGGGGAACTAGGGGAGGGATGGATAGCAGGGGTGGGGGGATTGGGGAAGGATACCATTAGGACAGATACCTTACGTAGCTGACTAGTATTTTGAATGACACAACTGCAGTATCTTTCTCTCCTGTTCTCTGTAGTTCAGGCCGTTATTCTCAGTTACAAATTGAGCAATTACAAAAGCCTCCTAACTTTCTTACCGACAGTCCTTCTCTCCCTTCCGCTTCTTCCAGCACACTGGTTTTTGACGTATTACCCAGATCCTCATCACCTGGATAAAGATTATTCAATAAAGCTTTCTGTGGTGATGTAAAGGATCTGTGTATTTGCATATGGATTAAGTGTGACTATGGAACTCACTTTCATTAAATTTAAATAGCTTTATGTGGATAGGGGACTACTTCATTTGACAGAGTAGATAGATTTTTCCAACCTGTCTTTTTCACTTGACTTTTTTCTGTCTTCTTGTGCATGTACTTTTTTTCTTCATACTGTTCACTCTCCTTAGAAGATCGCATCCTTGCACTTGATGAATAAATTCTTGGGCCGTCTGATATCCCAGGACATGCTGCTTTTCAGTACTTCACTGAATACCACTTGTCTGCATTTGTCTTCCCTCATTCAATGCATATGTCTCTCTTACGGGATCAAACACTTGCACCTGTAAATCATACCTATGTATAAGTTTGTTTTTAGTGCCTTTCATGGAATCTGAGCTCCCTGAGTCACAGCCTTACAATGTTGATTTTCATGTCATGTATGAGCCGGGCACGGTGCAGTCCCTGATGTTTAAGGGCTGAAAAAAGATTTGAATAAATATGTTAATGTAGGAGATAGCTAAAGGTTAAAATGATAGCAAAACTCTCTCTTCTGCATCTTCAGATATGTTAATAAGAAAAATATGATGATTAAAGAAATTATTCTGCAAATTTTTCTAAAGCAAGTTCAGTAAATAGTACTATCAGTTTTCTTTAAATATGCCTTTATGTTTAAATCATTTGACTTAAAAATGTGAATTTTTATTATTAGAATATGTGTTTGTGTATACCCTGTTTCATTCATAAAGTATTTGAGATAGCTTACAAAACTACATATCTTTTTTTTTTCCTTAAGACTCAAAGAAACAAAAACTATAAGTAAATAGTAAGGTGTGGCAGGGGACAAATAAGTAGATATAAAAGCATGCTTAACATTCTGGTTACTCAAGCTGGGAAATATGCAAATGTAAGTAGTGTTTGGGAGCAGAGAAGGTTCTATATTTAGCTGTCCTTCTGTAGCTAAATCTGATAAATTGGAAAATGCCATATTTCTCTAGGTACATATTATGTATATTTTGATAGTATATCAAATATATAAAACAGCTTAAATAAATTAAAATCCAGAATAAACTATATGGGATAATCTAAACTACTCTGTGACAGTAAATTGTATGTGTCTGATGTGATTTTCCAATTAAAGACTGAGAACTCTTTTTGTTACACAGAAAATCCTGTTTTGATGGTATGACTGATAATTTTTAGTTCAAACTCTCAGAGTCCTAATATTATAAAGGTTACAAGTGAACTCTAAGCTGTTTCATAACTTACAATGCTGCTTTTAATAAAAAAGCCTGATAGAAAAAATGTGTGTGTGTGTGTGTGTGTGTGTGTGTGTGTGGGTGTCTCTCTCTCTCTCTCTCTCTCTCTCTCTCTCTCTCTCTGTCTCTCTCCAGACTCTCCCACAAAATAATTAGATCCTATTATCAAAGTTGATGAACTGCTGGATAAACCCTGTGAGTGAAATTCTTTATAAGCGGCAAGAGAAAATCAATTATTACTTTTGTTTGATGCTGTGTATTTTGATGAATGAAGTTCTGCCGTTGATCTCGACCTTTCTTTAAATTCAGGTGAAGATGCTTTTGATGCCCTCCCTCCATCACTCCCACCTCCCCCGCCTCCTGCAAGGCATAGTCTCATTGAACATTCGAAACCTCCTGGCTCCAGTAGCCGGCCATCCTCAGGACAGGATCTTTTTCTTCTGCCTTCAGGTAGGAGGGAAAAGTCAAAGAAAACTATTCACTTAAAGCAAAGGTATTTCCAAGATCATACTGTCAAGTAAATGGTAGTGATTCAATAGTCTCTCCCTCCCTAGCAGAACAGAGAAATCCCTGGGTGGTAAGAGTAGAAATTGTGGGTACATTTGTTTATCAGTTGATTGGTTTAATGCCAAAAGATGGAAAAAGCAATAAGGAACTACATAATGTAGAAACGATGTTATAGAGATTGTCTAGTCCAGAAACCTCCTTATGTTACTAAATGCAACCCTGAGAACCAGAACTGCTAAGGTGTTGGGCTAATAGTACTGGGAACAATATTTAGACTTTCTCTCCCTATTCCCAATTCAATGTTTTTTAGGTTTTTAAAATTTTATGAGATATGCCCTAGTGTCATAATTTTGTTCAAAATGTAAGATTCTTGTAAATTAATTGTTATAACTTGAATAGACAAGTTTTTCTGAAATAGCTGCATTTTGTTTTGTTGTGATTTTTTAATGCCTGTCTACTCACAAATTATTGTTATTCAATGGAAAACTAATGTAAACTAATTTTTTATATTAGTATATTTTAAAATTTATAAAAGTCAGGATCTGAAATAAAAATGAAGACTTAATAAACCATCTACTGCATTAGTTAAAATTACCAGGAAAAAGAAAATAAACTGATATGGAACCTGCTGATGTTAATGAACAGTTCCAGTCTGCCCTGTTAGTGACACTGTGCCCTGAATCCTTTGCCTCCTGGACTTGATTTGGGAAAATATAGGATAAATATGATCTTTTATTCACAAGTTCTTTACATTTCTTCATGAGATAAATCATGAAAATCTTTAAAAAGTGCTCAGCTTGGCCCAGCACAGTGGCTCACGCCTGTAATCCCAGCACTTTGGGAGGGCAAGGCAGGCGAATCACCTGAGGTCAGGAGTTCAAGACCAGACTGACGAACATGGAGAAGACCCCATCTCTACTAAAAATACAGAATTAGCGAGGTGTGGTGGCTTATGCCTGTAATCCCAGCTACTCGAGAGGCTAAGGCAGGAGAATTGCTTGAACCTGTGAGGCAGAGGTTGCAGTGAGTTGAGATCACGCCATTGCACTCCAACCTGCACAACAAAAGCGAAACTCCATCTCAAAAAAAAGAAAAAAAGTGCTCGGCTTGTCTTTTAGCTACCTATATGCCTCCGCGAAAACTTGAAAATCTATCAGTTCCCTCAGTTGTTTATTAGTCATGTCTACCATTAGTTTTTCCTAGGTTTATTTTTTACTTGGCTTGATAATTTAGAAAGTTTGAAGAGATTTGATAAGACACATCAGTTATGGATATATATGGCTTCACTTTCTTAAAGCGGTTTATTTTTCAAGAATAATCTTCTGCTTAATTTTTCATCAGTAAATACTGATTGACCCATTCATTGTTCATCCGCCATGATAGATGCCTTCTGACCTCTGGAACCTTATGAGTTCACTGTATGCTGCCAATTAAAGCCCTGGTATCATAACCCGCTCCAGTCCAAGCAGAAAGTATGGTGTATTCATCCCTTTTCACACTGCGCTGGAGATACTACCCAAGACTGAGTGATTTATAAAGAAAAAGGTTGTGTTGACTCACAATTCCGCAGGGCTGGGGAGGCCTCAGTAAACATACAATCATGGTAGAAGACAAAGGGGAAGCAGGGCACGTCTTACATGGCAGCAGGTGCAAGAGAGAGTGAGCAAGCAGGGGAAATGCCGGACATTTATCAAAAACTAGATCTCATGAGCACTCACTACCATGAGAACAGGATGGGGGAACCAGTACCATGATCCTGTCACCTCCCACCAGTTCCCTCCCTCACACATGGGGATTGCAACTCAAAATGAAATGTGAGTGAGTGGGGACACAGAACCAAACCATATCATAACTGCGTGGGGTTTTATTCATATAGGTACATGGAAATGTGGCCATATTTTGCTATTTTTTCACTTATTCAAAACTTTGTCCTATGTATAGACTTTAACATAATTTTTAGAACAATGAGTCATTCTAAATCTCAGTTATTTAAACTTCCTGATGCTAAGTTCAGGATAGTTTCTGGCTATCCTGTCACCTTTTATATATGTGACTTAAGCTCCAGTAGATGAAACTTCGATGTTGTGGCTTTTTTGAAAAATAAAGTCAAGCTTTCCAAGGGCTTAGTAGAAGAGAACATTTTACACAAATACACACCTTTACCTGTTTTGTCTTAAGAATTAATTGTAAAAGGTTTTAATTATTTATTTTATCTTAATTATATTGTTCATTGCCTTTTACATAAAATCTTTATAAAGAAACCCCTCAAGGTTAATTGCTAAAAAAATTACTAGTTTAAAATGAAAATAACTCCTATTAGCTAAAATGCAAGTTGTGTAAACTGTCTTATTTGTTTTATAGATTTGCCTGTTTTGTGTTTGCTTGGCTTCCAGGGAGCTCAACACAGTTATCCTTATCGGGCTAGCATGGGGGTCAGGGCAGTGTCTTTCAAGCCTGTTGACTCTCTCGACCTACGTTAATGCATGGACGTTTTCTCATTTGCTCCCAATGATGTGGACATGCCTTATAATAATTATTTCTTTAAAAAAAGGCAACTGGTTTTTTTCCCTTTCCAATCTTTCATATTATTTACATGACAGATATCTAGTCTGGTACCAGATCCTTTATGACTTTTTTCTTTTCTTTTTTTGAGACAGAGTCTCGCTCTGTTGCCCAGACTCGAGTGCAGTGGTGCAATCTTGATTCACTTCAACCTCTACCTCTGAGGTTCAAGTGATTCTCCTGCCTCAGCCCCCTAAGTAGCTGGGATTGCAGGTGTGCACCACCACACCCAGCTAATTTTATTATATTTTTAGTAGAGACGGGTTTTCACTATGTTGGCCAGGCTGGTCTTGAACTCCTGACCTTATGTGATTTGCCCACCTCAGCCTCCCAAAATGCTAGGATTACAGGTGTGAACCACCTCATCTAGCCCCTTTATGACTTTCATTGTCACAATTATTTTGATTCAAATTTAAAACTATGTATATTAGCTTTCCTCCTTTTCAAAAGAAATATTTTAGTATTTTAATGCTATTACATAATATAGAGCATAAAGGTTTTTTTGGCTTATAAACCAGCATTTGAGTATTGTTTTGCAAAGGATTTAATACACATTATACTATCTAAAGAAATGTAAAAGATTCACGATAGCAGTTCTTCTCCCTAAGAATTGACTTTAAGAGTATGCTACAAATAAGAGGTAAATAAAAGGAACTGCTAAGTTTAAACAAACTCTGTGAGCATTTTACTGTTGTTTTCGTTGTTCAGTCTGTGAAACCTTAGTCTGGTGTAATCATACATCTTTTCTGAACATTACTGAGATTTGGTTTCCTGAGGAAATAATTGTTTCTAATTAAAGACAAAGATAGGTGTCTTTGGAGAAGAGGTTGAATTTTCTCATGATATTTTGCTAAGTACAAAATCAAGCCTCCATTTTCATTCCAGCATTCAGTGCGCTGCACAGCTGGGCCAGGTTCAGATCTTCAGCCTGAGAGCTCATTGACTTCTCTGTAGTAGTGATTGTCAAACTGCAGCGTCCTGTGTGTCTGCAAAAGGGCCTCAGGACTCTTGTAGGAACGAGGGGGCTCTCATTCTTCTTTTATCTCTTTTCTATTTCAGGCTTTCATGCAAGATTTCTTCTGGCAGAATAGTAATGCCTATAGCTGTACATGAGCCATCAGTTTTGGACAGGCCAATGGTATCTTAACAAAACCTGAAGTCCTCAACAAAAGCTTTACACTGTTTAGTCTCCAATCCCAAGGCTACCGCTGGTGTATATGTGCTTTTTTCCATATGAAAAAAAAGTACTTCCTTTGTGCTGGTGGATTCAAGTAGGCACCCGCCCTCGACTTTGTGCCAGGGTCTGGGCTCAGGGAATAAAGAAAAGGCTGTATTTATGTCCTGCTCATAACCATAGCTAGGTGTCTTTGTGCAGTGCACAAAATGCAATGATTTTGTCAGTCCTTATGCTACCTTTCTTTCGCGGTTTCTCTAACCTGTAACCTCGTTTGAAGATCTTATCTAATCTTAAATTCACAGTTCAGCTCTGAAAGCCAGATTGACTTTATTAGAGATAAACGAACGTTTTCTTTTTGGATCCAGAAATGCAACTGCATAAGCACAAAATAAGAAGACAATGGGTGTAGATGAGAGTTGTCTTCCGTTACAGTATTTGGGAAAGAATTATATTTTTTCCATGTCACTTCAGAGGTAGAAGTAAGATCAATGAGAAGTGTTAAGAATGAAAATTTCATTCATCCTACAAAGAAGTTCCCTAAATCATAAACAACTGTTCTATCTTGGGTGCAGTGAGTTATCTCACACTGGGGTATTTAAATCAGTGGTAGATCGTTATATAGTAGAGATGTGAACATGAGCTAAAGCAAGAGGGCAGCAAAGAGGGGAGAACTTTATTTCACCCAAATGGCTCTTCAGACCCCTTCTAGCAATTAGTTTCTGCTTTGATAAACTCTTATTAAAATTTGGGGGATAATTGATAAATCTTCCAGTTGGTTTATGGACAGCCAGAGAGGGAAATTGGCCATTGTTTTAATTATTTATTTTTATTTGCCTCTTTTTTTATACTTGGCAAAAATTTGGAAGTGTTTCAGATAGTGAAGAAAAAAAAGAATTAAGAAAAACTTCGCAGGTTGAGTACTGTGGCTTGTGCCTATAATCCCAGCACTTTTCAAGGCTGAGGCAGGCGGATTGCTTGAGCTCAAGAATTTGAGACCAGTCTGGCCAACATGGCAAAACTCTGACTCTACAAAAATATAAAAATTAGCCAGGTGTTGTTGGCTCACACCTGTAGTCATAGCTACTTGGGGGACTGAGGCATGAGAATGGCTTAGGCCTTCGAGGTGGAGGTTGCAGTGAGTCAAGATTGTGCCACTCCACTCCAGCCTGGGCAGCAGAGCGAGACTGTCTTTAAAAAGAAAAAAAAAAATCCATATCCGCCTCCTAAAGATAACCATTGATAGATACCCTTCCTTTTTTTTTGTTTTCTCAACTATGAGTGTGTAAGTTCACATGTAAAATTTATTTCTCTTAATATATGCTATTTATAACCTTTTCCAATTAATACGTCATGAGCATTATATATAATAGTTAAATATTTCTACATAATATAATTTTTACTATATTTCTTTTTTAAGGAGTAAACTGTTTCCTCCTAGTTTTCCCTTAGTTTTTATAATCTCTCAAATAAGTATTAAATTTTCAGTTTTGCAGTACTATACTATAAATCACAAGCAGTAGTACTTTGCCTTTTAGAACAGATGAATCTCTGTGTGGATCCATTTATTTCGCAGCCACTGACTCCTATATAAATGATACGTTGGCTGTGATAATTTCAGTTTGGGTGCTCCATCCTGTGGATATAACATTTTTCCTTTAGTTTTTGAAGAATTTGTTAGAAAAGCTTGATTGCTTTTCAGAATTTTCTTATCAGGGGACGACAGTTGGTAATTATTGTACTCTTGTAGCGGTTGTGTTATATCTACTGTCTTTCCCTTTAAAGCCTGAAGGCTTCCAACTTTATAACTTGCTTTAGAGAGCCCAGTTTACCTTGTGTCTGACAATGAGCAAACTTAGGATATGATGCAAGATAGAACATGATAATGATTCAAACCGGAACCATATAAAGGTATTCTTGCTATTGATAATATTTTTAGCGTATCTAATACCTTTTAAATAATATTGTTTAATGGAAGAATCTAGTAGAGTGGTGTATTTTGTAGTCTATCTATTTATGGCTCTGAAATATATCAAGAGTTTGCTTTTTAACCTTAAATAAATAGGTGATTTATTTAAGGTTAAAATAAACCTTAAATAAATAGGTGATTTATTTAAGGTTAAAATAAATAACCTCATTTTAAATAAGGTTAATAAATAAGGTTATTTATTTAAAATAAGTAAATACACTTAAGTGTATTTGACAAACCTATAAATTTCCCGTAAATATATAAGCAAGTGTGGCCGGGCGCGGTGGCTCAAGCCTGTAATCCCAGCACTTTGGGAGGCCGAGGCGGGTGGATCACGAGGTCAACAGATCGAGACCATCCTGGTCAACATGGTGAAACCCCGTCTCTACTAAAGATACAAAAAATTAGCTGGGCTTGGTGGTGCGTGCCTGTAATCCCAGCTACTCAGGAGGCTGAGGCAGGAGAACTGCCTGAACCCAGGAGGCGGAGGTTGCGGTAAGCGGAGATCGCGCCATTGCACCCCAGCCTGGGTAACAAGAGCGAAACTCCGTCTCAAAAAAAAAGAAAAAGTATATATATATGCAAGTGTATATATTGTAAAAGAAAATTCATCATCTGACTTAATCTCGGGGCATTTAGAGTCCACAAGAATCTAAAGTAAATTTTATTACATGTTTAATTCAAAATATTTGGGAAATTTCAAAATTTATGCTGAATTCACCATATTTGTTTCCTTTGGTTTATTTAACAAACCAAAAGATCAACATTTATCTCATGCAATTTATCTTTTCATTTCTTCCTAAAAATTTCTCTGCAAAATTAATGGAACTGGACTATCAATTCTTCAGTTATTGAAAACTCAAAATGTAAGAGTTATTTTAATCTTGAAATTAATGAAAACTAGTGAAAGAGCCTTGTCTAAGTCAAAGAATCCTCAGCAAAGCTGGTGATAATTAGTATACTCGGAAAAAGGCGAAAAGATAAATAATTAATGGCTTTAAATCCTGCCTTACATTAACCAGTCAAAAGTCAATATGAAAATAGGCAATATTTAATCAAATTCTTCCATATTATTAATGTCTAATGGGAGTGGAAGTTAAGACAATGAAATACAATCGGGTCTTCTTTAATCTTTACAATTTTTGCTTGACATTAGCAATTCAGGTTTCACTGATTTTGAATCTGTGAACAATCTGAATTTGTATGGATTTATTTTTGGTAGCTAAAAGTAAATATTAAGTGTAACCTATTTGCCAAGAGTGTTCTAGGTGCTATGTTGGAGTTGGGGGTATAATTCAAACATGAGGAGTAAGACAAGATCCTTTTTCTCAGAAGAATTAAAGGTATTTTCAGAGATACAGACAACATAAAAGTGCTACGAGAAGAAAGCAGAGGACCCTGAGGTGGGAGTGATAGCTAGACAAATTATTAGTGAACAAGGTTTTGGATGTAATGTTTGTCTACTCAAAAAGGGAACCAATTCTCTAAGCATTTAAACCCATATACTGTGAATTTTAAACCAGTTGGGTTTATGGTATTAATGATCTAATATAGCAACATTGACAAAATCTCTTTTTCTCCCTTTAGTCTCAGTTAGTAAATATCATATTTTTTACTATTTCAGATGCCCTGTCTCTGACTGCCATGGTGGTAAATTATCCCATTTTACTGTATATTCAAATGTTAATTACTAAATGGCATAATTTTTAACAGTCGAATTTACTATTTAGTAAGCCAACTAACAACATTGATGTTTAGCCTAGGATGCCCAACATAACAATAAGCACCTTGTATGTGCAGAAGATGTTATATACACAAATTCATTTAATCCTCACAAATCTGAAATTTCAGGTCTGTTTTACAGATTTTGTATGCCCAATGTTAGAGGGATTAAGTGATTTGATAATACTCATAGGGAGGACCCAAATCCATAGTTCTTTTTGTTTGTTTGTTTTGTTTTGTTGGGATTTTTTGCTTTTACTTTAGAACACTTTCTATACATTGTATGGGTTGGATTGGGATGGGACAGAAAGTAAAATTTAGAAGCTGTTTTTTTGTTGTCAACAATCTTATAATTAAATAAGATATTTGCAAAATATAAATATAAAACTAGTAGTCTTTATTATCTGGAAATAAATGTGAAGAGCATATTTAAGCAAGTGATGAATAAATTAGAAAATATGCAGGCAGTAGAAAATGGTTAATATCAGTTATGGATTTAATTTTCGAATTTATTTTTGAAAGCTGTAATCTTCACAAAATAATTCTAGAATTTTTTCTTCAGACAATCAACAGAGATGATCCTTTTAATTTGAAATTTGTTTTTATTTTTAAGACCCCTTTTTTGATGCAAGTGGCCAAGTTCCTTTGCCTCCCGCTAGAAGATTACCAGGTGAAAATGTCAAAACTAACAGAACATCACAGGACTATGATCAGCTTCCTTCATCTTCAGGTGAGTTGGCTAAAAACAGTAATAATAATAATCCCTTATTGTTATTACGGTGCTTTCTGCTTTTCAGAGCACCTTCTTATTCATTATATAATTTAATGAATCTACCTAAGGAAGTATTTTTTATCATCTTTGCATTTTGCTTATAAAACTTGCATTGTGAGAGGAATGGCTACAAAACTGCCTCATAGAAGAGAAAAATAGCAAGCTTATATATCCAAAGGACTGTAAGTCGCTCTACTATAAGGACACATGCACACCAATGTTCGTTGCAGCACTGTTTACAATAGCAAAGACCTGGAACCAACCCAAATGCCCATCAATGATAGACTGGATTGGGAAAATGTGGCACATATACACCATGGAATATTATGCAGCAATAAAAAACGGTCAGTTCGTGTCGTTTGTAGGGACATGGATGAATCTGGAGAACATCATTCTCAGCAAACTGACACAAGAACAGAAAATGAAACACCGCATATTCTCACTCATAGGTGGATGTGGAAAAATGAGAACACATGGACACAGGGAGGGGAGTACCAAACACTGGGGTCTACTGGGGGCAAGAGGGGAGGGACAGCGGGAGGCGGGGAACTGGGGAGGGATAGCCTGGGGAGAAAGGCCAAATGTGGGTGAAGGGGAGGAAGGCAGCAAAACACACTGCCATGTGTGTACCTATGCAAATGTCTTGCATGTTCCGCACATGTACCCCAAAACCTAAAATGCAATTTAAAAAGAATGCAATAAAAAAAAAAGAAGAGAAAAATAGCAAGCTTAGTTTTATCTTTAATCAGTCAGTGGAGCCACTTCTTTGATTTGAAATGATTTCATTATCTAGCTTTCATTTTTTCTTAGGTTTGGGAAATGGGGAAAATCTCTTTGTACATTGAAATGCTGTCTTATTTCTCCATTAAGACAGAAATCTCTTTAGAATTAATACTAGCACCAAACTATTCTTTGTCTTAGCTTATTTAGGGCTACCAACCAGTGCTCCATTGCCAGCCATCAAATAGAAGGATGTACCATTTTTGTAAAAACAAGTCATACTCATAACCAATAATAATGGAATGCTGCTGCTTTGCTTCTTGAGGAGGCTTTCCCTGAACTTATCTAAATAGCTCCCCTATCTTCTACAGTCATTTTCTTTCCCTTTTTGCTTTTTCTTCATAGCACCTGTCACTACCTAAAATTTTATTATTCAGTCATTTGCTTGTTTGTTGGTCATCTGTCTCATCTACTAAAGTATTAACACTTTGAAGATAAAAGTGTTCTTTGGTTCACTGCTTGTCCTAGTCAGTTCAGGCTACTATAACAGAATACTGTAGACTGAATTGCCTAAATGGCAAATATTTATGTCTCACAGTTCTGGAAGCTGGGAAGTCCAAGGTCAAAGTACCAACATTCATTGTCTAGTGAGGGCCCTCCTCTGGGTTCATAAATAATTGCATTCATACTGTGTCCTCACGAGGGCAAGAGAGTGCTCTAGGATCTGTTTCATAAGGACACTAATCCCTTTCATGAGGGCGTCACCGGCATAATACAGTCATCTCACAAAGGCTTCCCCTCCAAATACCATTACGACAGGGATTAGGTTTTAATATATGGATTTGCAGAGAAGAGGGCACAGACATTCAGTCCATAGCATTGCTTTATCCTCAAGTGTCCAACAGAGTGCCCAGCATATGTTTCTTAGATGGATAGTTGGGGGTGGGTGGGTGGATGGACGGATGGACGGATGGACGGACGGACGGACAGATGGACGGATGGACGGTTGGATGGATGAATGGATGGATGGATTTGAGCGGACATATAGGCAAAAGGAAGGAAATAGGGCTGATGTCCATATTAAACTAACTGCATGTATCTGATAAGCATTATTTTTGTCTTATATTTGTAAATATTAGAAGTTTTCCTCTACAAACTTTTGTCTTATTTCAAGATTTCTTTTTAAAGCTAAAACTTCAGTTCATAGAAGATTTGCTAACAGTAATAGCAATGCATTCTGAAACTTCTGAATCAAGATAATTAATGAGCTGTTTTAAGAATTGTCAGTATGGTAGTTCTTAGGTGCTCGATGTTATGTATGAGCTATGCAGAAATCCCTGTGTAGTTTAATATATATATATATATTTTTTTTTTTTTTTTAATTTTACTTTAGGTTCTGGGGTACATGTGCAGGTCATGCAGGGTTGTTGCATAGGTGCATAGATAACCAGGTGGTTCACTGCCTCTATTCCCCCTTCATCTATATCTGGCATTCCTTCCCATGTTATTCCTTCCTACTCTCCCCGCCCCCCACCGCTGTCCCTCCCCAATCCCCCCTCAACTGCCCCTGGTGCGTGATGCTCCTCTCCCTGAGTCCACATGTTCTTATTGTTCAGCACCCGCCTAGGAGCTAGAACATGTGGTGTTTGGTTTTCTGTTCTTGTGTCAGTTTGCTGAGAATGATGGTTTACAGATTCATCCAAGTCCCTACAAAGACATGAACTCATCGGTTTTTATGGCTGCATAGTATTCCATGGTGTATATGTGCTGCATTTTCTTTATCCAGTCTATCATTGATGGGCATTTGGGTTGGTTCCAGTTCTTTGCTACTGTAAACAGTGCTGCAGTGAACATACGTGTGTATGTGTCTTTATAATAGAACCATTTAGAGTCCTTTGGCTATATACCCAGTAATGGGATTGCTGGGTCAAATGGAATTTCTATTTCTAGATCCTTGAGAAATCACCACACTGTCTTCCACAATGGTTGAACTAATTTACACTCCTGCCAACAGTGTAAGAGTGTTCTTATTTCTCTACATCCTCCCCAGCATCTGTTATCTCCAGATTTTTTAATGATCACCATTCTAACTGGCGTGAGATGGTATCTCAATGTCGTTTTGATTTGCATTTCTCTAACGAGTGATGATGAATATTTTTTCATGTTTGTTGGCCTCGTATATGTCTTCTTTTGAAAAGTATCTGTTCATATCCTTCGCCCACTTTTGAATGGGTTTGTTTGATTTTTTCTTGTATATCTGTTTTATTTCTTTGTAGATTCTGGATATTAGCCCTTTGTCAGAAGGATAGATTGCAGAATTTTTTTCCCATTCTGTTGGTTGTTGGTTCACTCTAATGATTGTTTCTTTTGCTGTACAGAAGTTTTATATGTTTCAATACTTGCATATAACTCAGGAAAGCATAGAAAATCTTTTTAACCTTTTCCAATTTTGACCAGCATTCTCTTACCAGTTTATTTCTAGTCATTCTAAGACTATATATATATTCAAGAGTAGCCTGTAATTCCATTCAAAATAATCTGATGACAAAACAAGAAAATCAAGAAAGGCAGACAATGTCTGATTGCTTCTGTATAACATAAAGAAACAATTTTTTTTTCTCTTGAGACAGTCTCACTCTTGTTGCCCAGGCTGGAGTGCAATGTCACAATATCAGCTCACCGCACCCTCCACCTCCCGGGTTCAAGTGATTCTTCTGCCTTAGCCTCCCAAGTAGCTGGGATTACAGGCATGCACCACCACGCCCAGCTAATTTGTACTTTCAGTAGAGATGGGATTTCTCCATGTTGGTCAGGCTGTTCTGGAACTCCTGACCTCAGGTGATCCGCCCACCTCAGCCTCTCCAAGGGCTGGGATTACAAGTGTGAGCCACTGCCCCCAGCCAGAGAAGCAATTTTTTATAAAGAAAATAGCATTAAAATAAAACTTTGAGCTAAGTGCTATGACTGATTTAAAATAACATATTCAGTACCACCAACTCTGGATGAAAAGAAACGTATACTCTACTTATGGGAAAAGTTGTGGCCAAAACACAGTGTTTTTACAGCTTCTTTACAGTTTGCTCCATAGTAAGTGGGTGTGGTAGAGCCCAGAGCAACATCATTCACATGTATGATTTCAAGCGGTGTGAATCCCGATTAGCATTACACTAGAAATGTCTGGAAGAACTTCAAATCACAGACCTTGTTGAAATATCCCGAACAGTTATTTGCCGGAAGCCTGAACTGGCTTTTACCTAAGTAATAAAAGAGTCTAACTATTACTCTGAGGGCCCCAGCTAGCTATAACATCAAATACTTCAATCTACTCCCTAAACTTTCTCTACAAACACAGTCAACCACAGAAAATAAGAAATTTTTTTCCAACAGATGTTTGTTCACATGCAGCTCACAGGCTTACCAAGCTGTCCACTAGTTTATTTCACAGTGGCAGAGAGACTGAACTTGCCTTCTGGATGGGGTCTTTCCATTCAGCACTTGAGACTGAATGCATATGTGCCTTTAGAATTCTAATAGCTCTTATTTTGCAGTAATTAGTCTGTTTTTATTAGGGCCTTTTTAAGATGACCAAATGGGGGTTCTCGTATGGTTGCTATACCCTATGAATTCAACTTCTATTATTTCTTGTGGCTGTCTAAATAATTGATAGTGACTTATTTATGGATAGGCTTTCTATGAAAAGTATATTTCTAAAGAATGTTAAAATGTAGTTTCACTGATTTAAAAATATCTCCCATTTTCTCATCTAAAAAATATGTCTGCATGTTATCTGTATGTCTACATATATTAAAAAGCCTTATAAATGTTTATTCCCCCAAAGAAAATATTTTATAGTTTTCTTAAAGTTTTAAGTGTATAATTGAAATTTAAATGTATGAACATGTAATCAGTAGTCCAGATATAAGAGGATCTTACCAGCCCATGTTAAATGCACATATACCTGTATATAAGACAAATATTTTTGCCAATAATCTGCTTGTTTCTTTACATGGATGTATTATTCACATGGGGCTCATGTCTCTTCTATCTGTATGTGAGGTTCTACAAATTTCCCAGTTTGCTTTTCTCTTGTTGTAAGACATACTGTGCTACAGTTTGTATACCATTCTTTAAAAACTCTAAAAGGCTTGTGCTAATGAAGTATGGCATTCACTCTTGAGGTGATTTTTCATATTCTTAGTATTTAGAAGGAATTCAAGGTAATACTTGAAAACAATGCT